TTAGGGGCTTAGGGTTTTAAGGGCTTAGGGGTTTAGGGTTTAGGGTGTTAAGGTCTTAGGCGTTTAGGGTTTTAAGGTCTTAGGGGTTTAGGGGTTTAAGGGCTCAGGGGCTTAGGGTTTTTAGGTCTTAGGGGTTTAGGGTTTAGGGTTTTAAGGTCTTAGGGGTTTAGGGTTTTAAGGGCTTAGGGGTTTAGGGTTTAGGGGTTTAAGGTCGTAGGGGTTTAGGGTTTTAAGGGCTTAGGGGTTTGGGGGTTTAGCGTTTAGAGGTTTAGGATAATGGAAAGTCAAATGAAAAAGAACATGAAAAATGAAATGGAAACTACTATAGTATACCACACGGAAAATGATGTGGAAACTGGGGCGGGGGTTAGGAATTAGATAAGGATTCATTATTTAGTTTCCGAGAACCGAATGAAACAGAAAATGGAAAGTGAAATGGAACTGCTATAGTAGTTGGAGGTTGTATAGGGATTTCTTAAAAGAATCCATATGTCAAATTACCCTAATGATGGAGAGTCAAGTGTAAAAGAAATGGAACGGAACATGACGTGGAAACTGTATAACGTAGTAATTCATTTAGATCAGGGTTTCCGAAAAATGTGGTTCTTCTGTAAGAGTCCTCGCAAAGACAATGGTATTTGGGGTCCATCTTGACAAGGATTTAGGAACTTAGAGTATCTCTTACTTACTAAAGCAGGAATCCTGAAACGAGAAAGGATTGCGTAGGAGCTTATAGGACCCAAAACGTACACCCCTAACCACCAAACTCTAAAACCCTAAACCCTAAAACCCTAAACCCTAAAACCCTCACCCTAAACCCTAAACCCTTGGGGGCTCCTTATGTGATGCATCCTCTGGGGAAATTCTTGCAGAACCTCCAAACAAGCTATAGTCTAAACTCCTAGTATCCCCCTTAGAAGCCCGTATGATACTCCCCATATAATTACTATGTAACCCCGTTTAAGGAGTCTAGACTATAGTACAAATGCTACGGAATTCCTGATGAGAACTCTAAAGATACTGAGCAGAAGCCCTCCTGCTGTGCAATGCCCCTTGGTGGGGTACGGGGTTCCATCTGTGCGATGTTTTTATTGTGATTATGCTTCAGTAATCCTATTCGGAGGCTCCTTGAAGAGACTTCCGCGAGTTTAGGCGCTGCAATTTTTACTCATTTTTCAAATACAACCCACCTGACCCAACTCCTTTTAACAACTCATTTTCATCCCATCGCCTAATCATGAAATAGACAGTATCCCAGACACATTAAAGTTAACGGCAAAAGGGCAAACCCCCTAAAACCTAAACCCTACATTACAATAGTTTCCATTTTCTTTTCCATTATCCATATAAAAACCCACACAATCCACATATTTCATTGTCTCCTTGTCCAAAGAAGCGCAGATGGCCGAGCCAGTACGAATCTCTGCCTTCGTGAGCTGCTGGCCCTCATTGTTGCCTCCGCAAAAACCGAAACTGTTGCTGGTTGGCTGGCTCAAAGCAGGGATGCCAACTGCAGCCGACTCCTTGCGCTCCGTTTGGCCGCGCCCGCCCCCCTTCCAACCCTCTTAGGCGGTGACCGTAATTGCCATTTCCATTGAAGAGCTCATCCTGCGGTCACGCGGCATGATGCTAGCTCTCAATTGAATTAGAACCGCATCAAGTACTGAATCTACAGTATGCCTCTAGTGGATCAGCATGCCTTACTTCAGAAGCCACACTTTGCTTGACATGTCTGGGACCCTCTGGATCAGGCCTGGGGTTGGCGCGGGGGCCGCGCTCGGATGAGCTCCTGCACCTGCCAAGGGCCTACATTATACGTACCTGTACTGTTGGTTAAAGTGCAGACGGTGGCTTCAGGTCGCAGCATTCAGCATTGAAACAGCCAAGTGAGTGCAACAGTTTGTCGCCTTCCTCTCGGCTTGGCGTCGCCCTCTTGATGCGCCAAAGATCAAAAGTCGCTCCTGGTTCTGCTCACATCGGAGTTGCAAGGCCCAGTGACATGTTGGCAGTTTTGCTTAGCGCAGCAAGGTCATGTCGTTCTAAAGGCAAACTGAAGCCTGCCTCTTTTTTTAAATCGCATTAGTCCACCAATACCTACACGCTTGCCAGAGGAGCTGGCTGCAACCTAAGTTTGGATGTCTAGCTCGTGCACAGCTTTGCAGCTACTTGCAGCCCAAAAACGGAAGAGTCCACGTCACCCTCCAGGAAGCAGAAAGTGTCCGTTTCGTGCTCGATGTCCCTTAGGGTTGTGCCTGCGCCACAATGATCCAAAAAACGTGCAGGATGCTATGCAGGAGCAGGATGGGTTCCCGAACCTACTCATTGAATGCTATGCTGACTGCTCTAGGCGGTTGCTATCACAGCATATCGCAGCCACTGCGTGCTCTTCAACTCTCAATCTTAGCTGTGCAGGTGGATGGGATTCTGTTGGGAAAGGCACTCGGATGATTGCATAGTATCCCAATATGACCCCAATGTACTATGATATTACCCCCCCCCAATATACTATAATAGTCCCCCAAAATACTATAATATCACCCCCCCATATACAAAAATATACTATAATCTTTAACTCGGTACAGTAAGCATAGCCCCGTGGTGCGCCTTTGAGGATGCCCGTAAGCTCCCGGGGCACCTTTACCTGACGTTTGCCGCAGGTAGCCGTCCCACACCAGGGCTTGGAGCTTTGTATCAACACGAGCTATAGGCTATAGTCGTTTAGGGTTTAGGGTTTAGTCTGAACTTCTTGTATCCTCCTTGATAACCCCTACAATGCTCCCCTATATAATCCCCCTTTATAATCCAGTTTCAAGGAGTTTAGGCTACAGTTGATATGGCTGTCGGAGTTGTGCCCAGTCTTCAAGCCGACGCTCCGTTGAGACTGTTCGAGATTGGTGGATGAAGTTTTGGAAGCTTGGATGAATGTAACAGATTCAGGCATGCAGACACTGATACTGATTTCGCCGTGTGCCTCAGGTGCAGCGCGAAACCAAACCCCTAAACCCTGGATGTAAAGTCAGCTGCTGCGATGCAATCCACCCCTTCAGCTACGAAACCATCTTCCCATCTACCCTAAGGCCCCGAACTCTAGGGTTCTTTTTTTTACAACCCCGTGGACTTATACGTCTAGCATATGCTCGGGGGTGCTTGTTGCCCTTTTGGCAGTGAACTCTAGGGTTTAGGGTTTAGGCTTTCCAAAGGCCCTGAAGCAATCAGACTCAGTACCTCAGTAGCATCGCTGCGGGTCGAGATGTCAATGTAGACGGGGCCGATTCGCTGCTGCTTCAGCCAGGTAATGTAGTCCTGCAGCCCCATATGGGGGGTTCTCAAAGGGGGTACCCTAGGGACCCCAGGGGATATATGGGGATTATAGAGGGATTATGGGGGTCCTCATTAGGGAATATATAGGGATAATATTGAGAAATACCCATATCGTAAACCCTCAGCCCTAAACCCTACATAACCCTACATAAACCACATATAACCCTGTTCAACCCCATGTAGCCCTATATCACCCCAATCTAACCCCCCAAACCCTCAACCCTAAAGTCCTTCAGTAGCAACAAGATTTCTCACTCCGCTGCTCTGATTCTGCTGTGGCAGAGCTGGAAGTCAGTAGCATATTATGCTTCCAGATAGAAATATGTAATATAGAAGTATATTACAGGAACAAAAGGGTTTAGGGTTTACGGCTAGTAATATACTCTAACAGCATACTATGTGAAAGCCTTCAGGGCTTATGTTTTGGAAAGCTCTGTAATGTGGTGCCCCGGTCCCTAGCGCGCAGCCGCTCTGCGTGGACGCCGGCCATGTAGGCAATGTTGCCAATGTACTCTAAGATGCAGCCTCAGGACCCATATGATCCATTCTGGGAACTCCCAACTGACTTCTCCTGCTGGTTCTTAGTAGGGGAAAAAGGAATATAATCCCTATCTAATCCCCATAATATACCTAGTTCCCCACTAAGAACCAGCAAATTCTGAGCTCGGCAAGTTCAGAAATGAGAATAGCTGCAGCCATAAGATGTCCGCCATCCCGGACATGATCATCAGGCGATGCAGACTCCTAATATATCGTGGTTCTATATTAGGGGGCTGAACCCTGAATCCTGAACCCAAAATCCTAAACCCTAAAGATCCCAAACCCTAAAACTCCTAAACCGTAAAGATCCTAAACCCTAAAAATCCTAAACCCTACCAATCCTAGACCCTAAAAGTCCTCAACCCCGAGCCCTAACTCAGCCACAGACCACTGGCATTGGCCAACTTTCGTCGCGTGGCCCCCTCCTTGCCCAAGGCGAAGGAGAGCTCATCGCCTGGGCTGGCCACGGCTTAATGAATGTTTGTATTACAATGTAATCATATAGTATAGTGGTAGAATTTTAGGAAGACAATATAGTTGGGTGTGCAGAATAGTGGGAGTCCACCTTGGACACATCTCTTCTTCCAACGAAGGTACATAACTTACTGGTTCTTAGTAAGGAGTAAGGGAATGTAAGCCTTGTATAATCCCTGTACACTAAATGCCCCTATTCCCTACTAAGAACCAGCAAGATAAGGTGTTCTCAGAATGGAGGGCATGCTTAGGGGCCGGGGGGATAACCCCAGCCCATTAACAATCTATAACAGGGGTAATATTCATCATTGTCCAACTTTTAATGAGTGGGGGCAGGACCTAAACGCTAAACCCCAAGGGCACTGCCCAAAATATACCCACATCTGAGGCCGAAGCCCGTCAGTGGCATGGTATCGATGGCCCATCCCTCCTGTCATGAGGGGCTCTGCGCTGTGTAGGAGAAGTAGATCAGGGTTCACTATATGAGTGGTTGTCAAAATTATGGTCCCTTTTTGGGTCCCTATTAGAATACGGCCCCTAATATTTAGGGTACCCAAAAAAGGACCATAATTTTGACAACCAGCCATATAAGGGCGTATATAGGGGTTATAATATAGGGGATGATGGAAAAGAAAATGGAAACTGCTATTGAGGGTTTAGGGTTAAGCTACACGGGTTATATACGGGCTTGCCCTAAGAACGGAGCATCAAATGGAAACTAGAATGAATAAACGCAGAGTGGAGTTTACAGTTTAAACAAGGTCCCCAATTGCTGCAAACTACCACATCGAGGCACTAGGATTGACTTGGTGAGGGCATGCTTGTCTCTATGAGAAACAAGGATGCCTGTGCGCACCCCCTGCTGCGTATCAACCTTCTGATGTCTACAAACCAGTCACGATCCACTCAGGACTTCAGCCGATTGAGCATTGCAATGCACAGCCCAAACACACGTGCACAGTCTGGCATGTCGAAGTGCTTCGCCCATGCCAATGTCCATGGAGTTTTGAATTTCATGCCAAGACCACAGCTACTACTCAACGAGAAGCACCTCTGTCATAGGTGCTTCAGAAAGCCATCCCCGTATGAACCTTGAGGGGGAGCCCTACAATCTCTGCATGCCCCCATCAATGTTTCGGGTCCCTAAGGGCACCTAGATTGTTGGGAACCCTACATAATCCCCTAGTATATATTGCCTCTATACAATCCCCATATGACACTATATAATGCCCCTATATTCCCTCATTCCCTACCCATCATACAGGCGTGGCTGACAAGATGCCCGCAAGCGGACGGCGCATCACACCGCACGGCGTTTACACTAACTCTGTTGTGCAAGGGGGCAGAGTCTCTTTTAACCGATTACAGGAGTTTAGGGTTTAGGATTTCGGGTAACTGATTATAAGACTCAGCGTGCTACAAGAATAACAGGCATCAAGTCAGATAGCCTCGGGAGACTGAGCATCGCCGATGCCGCTGGTGTAGTGTCCTGCTTTTGCGAGTGAAGGAAATGCCACGTAGGGTTCACACTTGTTGAAAGATTTCTTTTGCCAAGCTTGTTCTCTTGACAGTGTGATTGCTGGGGTGAATAAAGTCGGGATATCAACCGTGCCCTCCAAGTGATCATTTGGACGCACCAAACCCTCAACCTCAACCCTCTGAACCCTAAAGCCCCGAATCCCTGAAAGTCCGAAGCCCATGTTTTACAAAAAGAAATCACTAAACTCCTAAACATCCCCAAGACCCAAGATTCCCTAAACCCTAAACCCAAAATCCCCAAAACCCAATATCCCCAAATATCCCCAAATATCCCCAAATCTCCTCGAAACCCTCAACCTTCCGAGCTCCGGAGGCCGCACCTGGCAGCTTTGCCTCGATAGCCGCCATAATCTTGAGCTCCGCTCCGGCCCGTCCCCAGGGAGGCCCGAAGATGGCAAGGCCTAGGGCTTAAGGGTTTTAGGATTTA